TGGCCGGGAGCTGGGGAGCAGTCTTTTGATATACAAATTATGCTGACAGGTGCCCGGTTGCTTTGTTTAAAGGAGTGGCGTTGGATAATGCCACTACATGGATAAGAAGGGGGATGTCTAGCAACTTAGGTAGCTTAGAACATCAACTGATGTCATTGCAGTGTCTCTGACTGGGAGGTTGTAAGGTTTGACTTCCGACGATGGCAGGATTTTTGACACTAGCTACATATCTAGGTGAAATCAAACCACTGTATCGTCCGGCTGCTCTGATTTCGTGATTTCTCCAATCAATACCTTGCGAATGATGAAATAGTGCTTTGACAAACGGGCCACGTCCGAGGCGCGATCTTTCCGTCCTCTTCCTTATCTATCTTCACCCTTTTCTTACACTCTTTCATTTTCATGCATTGCATGCCGTGAGATCGGTCGGGAGCTTAGACCCTGTCCCGCCTTGGGCGGTGCCCCTCTTGTGGGAGATACCTGGTTGGGGAGGCCCCGCATGCCAACGCCTGGGTCACCGTCCGATCTCACCATCCAGCTGAGCAAGACTATCACCACAGATCGTAATAAACATGCACTAAATTTACCAGATTAATAACCCTAACAGCTGACGCGTCCGAATCAATCAGTTAATCATAGGTGACGCCTATTATTTGTGGTTGACTATCATTTCCAGTGTTCATACTTAGAAAAACGAATCCCCTAAATCATTCTTCATCCACCTTCACTTCACTACCACTTTTATTTCTGGTCGATGGGACCCTCTCCCATTCCATTTCCTCTATTTTCAATGATCTCGAAAGCCTCCGAAAACGAGTTACGGGATGTCATGTCGTAGTTCTTTCAGCGTTCCTTTCTTCAGAATGTGTTTCGTTTTCTTCTTATTCGTCGCTCGCAAATTTTCCTAAGTGATTCGACCTACTCGGAAACAATCTCCTCCTTCCCTCGTGCCCTCTAAGGAGTTATCGCTGTCCTGGAAGCCTCAGCGCAGCTGGCTGCTTTGCGTCGAGGCAGCATACGAGGCGAGAAGAGTCGTTAAATTCCGAAAAGCATGCTCAAAGGTTCCCGGTTGGTTTGCGGCAGAGTCGGTATTTTCCCGACGCCTTGGCGCGTAAGTGAATTTTCATGAGTGCCTTATCATACGTTGTAATGTTGCGTGACCGTAACTGCGGCGTCATAGATCTGCAGGTTCTAGATTCAAATCTCAACGTCGGCATACGAAACTGTGGCTGAGGAGCTATATAACGCAAGTGCATACAAATGGTGATGCCTGCAAATAGTCGAGGTGTAATTCGTAACAAACACTCCGTTGGGAACACTCCTATTCAATTTGAAAGAATGGAGAACATTCACACCAATTCTGAAAGAATGGAGAACATTCACACCAATTCTGAAAGAATGGAAAACATTCACACCAATTCTGAAAGAATGGAAAACATTCACACCAATTCTGAAAGAATGGGAAACATTCACACCAATTCTGAAAGAATGGAGGACATTCACACCAATTCTGAAAGAATGGAGAACATGAAGGATGTCTAGAAATACTGTAGTACAGAGATACGTACAAAACAATGACAATATTTGTTACGGATGTATCCCTGTTTTTATGCATCTTTCAGTGCCGAAAAATATGCTCCCCGACTGTAATGTTTGCCCTAGTGCAACCGCAGTGGGTTTTATTAGTCTCCCCATATATCATGGCTATGTGGCTCTTGTGTCTGAATCGGTCAATGGATACAGAGATGAAAACGCAAAGGTGGTGTGCCTATCACGCTGAGACCTTCATTAGAGGAATGGATCTAGGCTATATGTGTAGGGCGGTGACTTGATGGTCTGTAAGCCCTTACATCTTGTCTTATCTCCACTCTGACAATATACCGATAAAGGATGTGAAAAATAATACACGTTTCTGTTCAATGGTGATACATAGTGCGCTAGAAATGCCGCGCCACGCCAAAACACACAACGCCTGTGCCGTGTATGGAATTTAATCCTACAGCTCGGATGCAACAACTTAGCAAAAATACATGCCAGTGGCGCGAGTTAAACCCACAGACCTTTCCAATAGGGACGTTGTTTATTGTAGAATTTCGGTTATACGCACACTTCCAACAGCCTGTACCACATCCCGTGTTTTTATCTCTTGTTCGTTTCTCGAGCATTTTCGGGGGTGATGCCAACCTGGCCAGACTTTCGACGCATTTTCCCCTCCCTTTACACCCTCTCCAGCTCCGCTCCTCCGCCCTCCTCGCCTTTGCGAACGCTGCTCTGGAAGATGTCTCACGGCAGAAGGCACAATAAGAGACGCCCGAGAAGAGGCGTGTTGTTAGAGGAAGAGGTGCTCATACACACTCCAGTCTTCTTCTGTCTAATTGTACCTCTGGGACTAGTCATCCTTTTTTTAATAATTGTTCTTTCTTATTGTAGTCTGCTGAGAAAAGATAATTAACTATTTGTTCAGAGTACATAAATCTACGTAAACATACTTATTTGGATAGGTAATCCCCCAGTGGCACATTAAACAGATGAAAAATACAAAAAAATGAAGTTCTTAGATAATATAAAGAAAATAAGAGTAATGCAATGCGGATCACGTGTTCTGTTGCAACACTCGTTATTATCATACGTAACACGTAAATGATATGTTTTAGGTGCTTAAAACCAATTTTCTTTGCTTCATTAGATTCATGCTAGTTTGCATTTACTTTTCACACCCACATTAAGGTCAGTACACTCACAGAATAATCAATATTATTTTACGAATGAAAACAGTTTACGCAGGAACGAAAACAGTAGTCTAATAATACATATTACACACTTCTAGGACAAGTGGAGAAGTTGAAAATAATAAGATTTTGCCAATGAACATACAGTGGAAAATTTAATATAAAGGAGTTTCAAGTATTTGTACATGTGACACTGTCTCTGTTAGGCAACCACGTATGCACAGTGGTTCGACAGATCCTAGATGTTCCTTGTGTGGTTTAGAAAGTGACACGATGAAAATTTGTACATAACGGGGCTGCAAAAAATCGGGGTAAATTTCATATGTTTAACTCTTGAAATTTTCCACCTTATGTTTATTGCAAAAAGGGATTTTTTCCGACCCTTCTACATTTTCTAGAAGATTGTAACATTTATTCTGAGACAGCCGTCTGATTAGGAGTGTCAACAATATTTCAGCCATGGAAGCAAGTGCCGACCACATTACGAGTCGTCCATCTCTGATTCTCATACGTACAATCCGCCTTAAAAAAGTGTCCAACCTAATGACCAAGAAACTCATCTGACATTAGAGAAACGACGCGGATGTCATACTAAAATCCACAGCATCAAAGAAAGAAGCTGAAAACGAGAAGAATCCATTAACGTTGCATATTCCACATCTGATAAAAAAAGACTGTTCCATACCCACGAGTGTTAATGCCCTCCGCACAATCCTCCCAGTGAATGCACGGCGTTGAAACCCAGCTTCCGCGCGCGCGTTCCGGGAAGTGAGCTGCGCTGTGTGTCAAGGCCGCCTGCGCGCTTGGCGGCAGGGGCTTCCCCGGCCTTCGCGACGCCCACGCACCCGCGCGCGCGCCTGCGCACCTATGCCCTCGCGCAGTGCCACCTGCCTCCTAGGCACGCGAGCAAAATAACACGATGATAATAATAATGATAATAATAATGATAAAAATGATGATAATAATGATGATAATGAGATAACAGCCATGAGAAAGTATTTTGCAGGGCAAGCGAATACTTCTCAACTCCACAACAGTGGTCGTACAGGCAGATGACAACTATACTCCCGTAAATCTGAAACAACAAAATATATCAATCCAATAGTCATCTTTTCAACAAGAAATGGATTTATGGAAACAGCCCTCCAGCATATGCTACTGCAGTTGCCAATCCAAATGTCGACGGGGAATTGTACAAATAGCTCAGCATAGGGTATTTGAACCCTGAGAGTGAAGGCTTTATTGTGGCAATCTAAGATCAAGTTGTGCCAACGAAGAACTGCTTTAAATACATGATATGACTTAGAAATACATAGTAAATATCGAATGTGTCGACGAGATCATGAAACTATCCAGAATATATCATCTCGGGTTGCAGCGCACTAGCCCCAACAGACTACAAAACGAGAGACGATCCCGTGTGCCGGATCATCCATGCCAAGCTCGCTAAGAAATAGGGGATCCTGCAGGACAAACTGAACTACCAATATAATCCAGAAACTGTGCTTGAAAATGAGTCCCATACGTTGTATTGGGACCGCAGTATTCTGACAGTACAATCCAGCACAATAGACTCGATGCTACGCTCTGAGATAAACCTGCCAAGAAAGTTTGCTTTATCGATTTTGCAGTTGTCAATATCAACAACATGATGACAATATATCAAGCAAAAATCGATAAATATCCAGAGCTAGCTTATGCAGTGAAACAACAGTGGCACGTTGCAGACATTACAACTGTTCCAATTGTCCTGTCAGCAAAGGGAGTCAGCAAAGGGAGTGCCAATACTTCTTAGCAGATAGACGACCAAGGTATGGACAAGAGTATTATCATCGCTCTTCAAAACTCAGTCATCATCAGTATGTGCTCATAGGTCAGAAAGTTCATGGGAGGATATGTGGGTTTCTGAAGCTTTTAAATTTAGCTATTATACTGTAATTTCATGTTTGACATTTTATGTTATATTATATTAACTATAGAATTCTATAAAGGTAAAAAAATCAGTTACCATGATTCGAAGTTGTATCTGTGTGGTAGCTGTAAGAGACCAATAATTTGTGTGCAAATGGAATAATAATAATAATAATAATAATAATAATAATAATAATAATAATAATAATAATAATAATAATAGCCAAGTGGCTCAAGGCGTAGCGCGCTGACGTCGCAGTCGGGAGGCCGGGGTTCAATGCCCGGGCCGAAAATTGGATCTTAGAGTTCAAGAAACAGTTCTCACTGAGAACTAGGAGAAACGATTTTTGAAAACAATATATGGTACCTGCGCGTGCGCACTTGAGTCCCGTACGATGCACAGTGTCACCTGTGCTCTGGCGAAAATCTCCAGAGCCACCGGGTGAGCGGGTACTGACATTTCTAGAAGAAAAAGTTCTGGTCATAAGGGATTAAAAGAATTACAGGTAACGGGGAAAGTAGCGATAACCGTATTATCATAAAGAAAAAAGGGATCTTTGAATGTTTTCTAGGAACAAACGTTGTGATGAAAACTCTGTACAAACGTTTTCCTAAAACTACATTATCAGTGTTACCCAGCAAGCTGCTTTTTGCGGACTAAGACACAGTCGACTAAGACACAACTCAGACACAACTAAGACACAGTGTTCAATTCTATCAATACGACAGGGGTTGTCTAGGTGTCTAATGCTTCAATGACTGAAGCCCTTTTTGATCGCTTAGCTCTCACAATCAGAGTTGATTATTTTTAAATTGCAGATATAGAAGATAATAATATTTATTCATAACGTGAATTTTGTAAAAAAATACCGCTATGATGTTCTTGATAATGATCAATACGTGATCAATAAATTCTTAGTTTTATTAATTACACCAAATCCTTAATCATCATATACTTCAGTCCTTACCTTTAGTATGCGTGTCTCATTAACTATACCAGGGTATAAACATCTCCAACATTGAATTACGAATAATTCTAATTAACCTTCTTTGTTTTTGTTTTTTTGCATGCTCATAATAAAAATGTATTTTTGTAATTATGTACGGAGTAGCTTCTCAGTAACTCCACATTAAATATTACGCTTTTAATACACGACACTAGATGATCTACGGCCATTGAGATAAATGAAAAATAACGATAAAATGCAATTTTATTATACAGAATAAATGAAAGTTTGTATTAGATGTTATAAACATATAATTAATTAGCCAATAATAATAGTACAATTATTCCTTAAATCTCTTATGACTAGTAGTTATTTTTTCAAACACCTATCAGGAATTGTTAGTATTATAGTTCATTGACATTTTCCCCGTGAAATATGTTCAATTTTTAGAAAATCTAGAATATTTTAAATTCTACAAACGTAATATTATACACAGGGGTCCAAATAGAAAACAACAAAACTTCGAAAATAAAATCTTAAGTCACTTTTAAAAATATTTTGCTTAACAAACGCCTACAAGAATAGTTAATCTGCAATTACTCAAAAGATGGTTTGAAAAAATATTTTTAATTAGAGATGTATATTTTGAAAACAAATTAACTCTCCAAAAGCACATATTAATCTCCAAAAGAACATAATTTGTTTATTGATTGTAGAAAGAAATATTGACCCAAACAAGCAATTGAATTGTGTAAGTTTGATTGTTCAAAATCATTTAGTATCTCAGGACTCATTGTGTCTTTTGACACGACTTTATGACAATTGAAGCGACAATTTAATGTCATTCTTTTCTGATGTACAATTCAGACCGTTGTAGTACGGAATCAGTTACTAATTGGAGTACTTCCCATGCGTATTCCTTATTTCCTCAAAAACACATGGAATTCGCGTGCATTACAAGTGCAGCTTTGTAACCAACGTGTCGGACGGCCACTAGACTTTAAATTACACAAAATATAAAAATCAAATGGAGATTTTGATGGCCAGTTTTGACGCCCATGTTTCTGGATACTTCAAATCAAGAATAGTTTGCACATTTTGTTTAAATGGGCTCTGCTAAATGTGTTAAATTCGCTCCATCGTCCTGAAAGTACAAGTACTTTGAAGAAGGGAAGCAAAAGGCACATCCTTTAAAAGAGAAGGTAATTCATGTTCTGAAAACATCAAATAAGTGACTCCAGTAAAAGTTACATCAAAGAATTTAGGTCCTTTAAATTGATTCCCGACAATTTCGATTTTCACGCGCTGCATGTGAGTTAGAAAGAACCCTAAAAACTCTTTCTAATGTTAATTATTCCACTTCTCGTGAACTGTTCGTTTGTGAATATTCTTCTGCAAATGCCACGTTCCTGGGAGAAGCCAAGCGCAAAACTGCGTGGGCAATTCCCTGTCTTGTGGTTGCAGCAATATTCGCAAGAGGACAAACATTCGTTGGGAAGAAATTCTCACACGGTCACTCGCTTCTTCCAAATCTGGAGAAAAGCCGTGTGTGGAGGTCAGAGATGATGTGCAATTTTTCCTCAACTTTCTGAAGTTGTTAATAAATGCACTTTTTATGCGGTACATTGCGATTAAAATAGTCATGTACAGTACCTTTACTGGTTTTGTGACTGCCGTCACAAAACCAGTAAACTTAATCATGTCTGCGTGTTCCTCGTTCTAGAAATTTGCGCATTGCGCAAAAATGCAGCGTGAGTATTCCGAAGTATGAATGTTATTAATACACTCTTCGACTAGTTACCCTAGCCCATATTTCTTAATAATTTCTTCCTTCTTATTGTTTAAGGTCAAACATATCGCGTTAATTACATTTTATTGACTATATAACTGTATACTTCTTGAAATAGTTGAACACACTCTTTATCTCTCTGAAAGCATGTGTTATTTGGTGATACGCATAGGGTGAGATATCTTTATAAGTCGATTAGTTTAGGATCTGCGTAATATACTGTGGTCTCCGTTTGGATCATGTTACGCGAAAGATTCTGTGACACGATAATAGACATCTCTGTGAGAATGACTCGATTCGCTTATTGCCTAAAATCGGCAATTATTGATTAAAAAAATCTAGTTCCAGTTTAAGAGATGTTGAGTTGTTGGTTGGACCTTGTTTATGGTCGTGATAGAATAATAATAGATTTTAAAATGTTGGTATTGTATACCGAAGTTCAGAGTTCATACGTTAATTAGTTATTGGCATTCGAAAAGTTAATTTTAACTTTGATCGTTTCAACTGTTTGGAAATCAAACGTAATGTTTTGGGTTCTCCGAATTCGCAATCAGAATTTGAACTACGAGCTACATCATTGTGTATATAATAGATTTTTGTTGTGAAACGTAAAACTGTTACACGTATTTAATGACAATGTGTGTAATTTGGGGCCTTTTAACAAATATCAATAATGATTTTATGAGTGTTGTTTAGAGACATTCTAACTAAAATGGCTCAATTTTCTCAAAAAATTTTGTAGTGTTCACAGAGAGAAATGTTCAAAACAATTTTATTGATTTTAACATACATTTAAAAGGAAAATCATTCTTATTCCTTCATATTTCAGCATATAATTGACATGTGGCGGGAGTATCCCGTCATATATCTAACTGAAAATTCGCGGTTGGTTGTGATCTGCCCTTATTATGCTGAGCCCCTCAATTAATTTATTGCAGTGTTACGCGAGACTATTTTATTTGTTGTATTTTAGCTATGTGGGTGCTATATTTTGGTAAACCATTCATTGTGGTTTTTCTACTGCACTTTTTGCTACTGCAGTCCAATAGTTTGCTTTATACGCCATGGCAAGGGACGTCGCATTAACGCATAATAAAGCTTATTTATCACAATGGACTCGATTGGCCTAGGACAAACAAGAGTCACGCCCTTTAATTGATTTAGTTACGTACGCAAGCGTGAATCTCTGAGAGATATATTCGTGTTGCGTTTCAATTTTGGGAATATATAATACTTTATAGACTTATACACCGCAGGTACTATCAATGAATCGCATTCTGTTATTCGCAGCGTCTGAATTTACTAACAGTTTATATGCCTTCTTTATAAAAAGAAATTGGATTGTGGACCAATGATCGATTGAAAATAGCAGGAGCTTATTGGAAAATCTCAATGACGGATTTTAAGTTTACTCAAAGTGGGTTAAGGAGATTTCAAAGCACTGATGATTTTGTAGAATTATAAATTCCTCAATTACGCTCGCCGAGTGCATTGCGCAATGCAACGACTCCGTCGTGAGTCTGTATGCAGTGAGCTCCAAAATATTACGAAACACGCTTAGCGTACCTTTATTAAATTATTAAATCAATTGTTATTTGTGAAACAGATGGAGTGAAATTTTAAATATCATTTTAGATATACTAGTGATTCAAAATACGAAATAAGAAAATAAAATAGCATTATATATTTAATACGACAAAAGTGGGTATTGAATAAATGAGGATTGATAGTTGAATAAAAGTTGCAAAATTAACGTGGTATTAGAAACCTAAGAGACAAAATTTAGTAAAACGACGTTCAGTACTTTTCTATTTCATCTATTCAAAAATTGCAAGTTTAACTATTTTGAGAATGTTTTTATCTCTCGCTTATCGTATCATGTGTCTGAATAGACTCGTATTGTTTCTAGGCAATGAAAACCTCTGAATTCCAATTTTAGTAAAAACAATGTTTAAGCTAAAATATAGAAGTTCCAAATTTACTTATAGAGATAATTTAAAACACTTCAGGTTTTCCAAGTCTTCAAGACTTAACCAATACTATCTTAGTGATGTACGGTTAAAACTGAAGCATTTGTTTTCTACTATTTTATGTTCATTGTTAATAAGTTTATTTTAGTTTCTACTGTACAAATTTGAAAAATGGAGCTATGAGGTGTTATTGCCTAATTACGATGAGTTTCACATTAAGTAGAACGTGTGGAAAGCCTGTACTGTGTCATATTTCTAAGTCTTTCTTTCAAAGTCACCGAAAATAAAACCAAACGAACTGTTTACTTCCCAAAACACCACTTTCGGTTCGCCGAATCGCAAATGAATGGAAAACCGAAGCCGCAATCCCTGCCGGGGAGAGGCAATCGCCTGTGGTAGGGCAGAGCGTGGCGTCCGCGCGTAGCATCAGACCGACAACGCAAAGGGCTGGTTTCAACCGGGTCAGGCTGACCGCCGGCGCCCCGAGCCGGATCAGAGCGGGCTTTGTGCCGACGTTTCACTTTCAGATGACCCGGCGATGCGGACCTCAGAGAGAAAGGGATGGCTGTCGCTCGAAGGGACGGAGTTCTACTGACTGACAGCCCTAGATAATTTTTTTTCTGTTTATTGTAACACTGTTCTGCTATATCGACTGAACAAAACCAAACAGGTGAGTGAAAATTCAGCCTTAACTGCCGGCGGTCAGATGACCCGGCGACGCGGACCTGAGAGAGAA